TTCCTGCTTCCCGTAGCTGCACAGGCACAGCTTCAGCTTTACCTCCCAGTACCCAGCCTCCAACCCTGCCCAACTATTCTGCTTCTATAACATGAGAGGGAAATTTTTAACAGTGAGAATAGTCAACCATTGGAATAATCTCCCCAGGGAAGCCAGTGACTGCTGCATTGGACACTTTTAAGACTCAGCTGGACAGGGTGTTGGGCCATCTTGTCTAGACTGTGCTCTTGCCTAGAAAGGTTGGACTAGGTTATCCTTGAGGTCGTTTCCAACCTATGATTCTATGATTCTGTAAGTCTTTGCTGGGAGGAAGCAGGAGAATTTTTAACTGTAAACTCTGAACCATATTGAGGGGGGTTGTTTGGTTTGTTTTTTTTTTAAATCACTGTCTGTACGTAAGGGTCCACCTTCATCTGTCCGTCAGGAGGGTGCCTGTGTTCAGGATGGGTGTTCCAGGCTCTCTCTTCCCTATGCTCACTAATATTTACTTAAAAGTCATTCAAAGGCCCCAGTCACACAGCAGGACTCTGCTGTGCTAGGCAAAGTATACACAACCAGATTATTATCTTCTAGACAGAAAAGGCACATAAAGTCTTCTAAGCACATTCATTTTTGTTTTATTTGCTTTGCCCCTAACTTCCTGTCTGGAAGCAGAAAATCTCACCATGAACTCACCTATTTCCTCCTCTGAGTTTCCAGAAGCATAGACCTTTGCTCTCCAAAAGTCTGAAATGGAAATATTTCAGCCTGTTAGGACATCAAGGAGAATGATCTATATTCAAGAAGAATGCCATATCTGGCTATTTCCAAGGGAATAGTTGATCTCAGTAAAGCTTAAGAAAGGACCTGAAGCTTCCTGGAATATAGTGCCCTATTATCAGTCAAGTTAATGAGGACATCCTGGGGATGTGGCCATCACATGCCAGTTGTTGGACAGAGTAGAAAACATAATTTTAAAATTTCATGTTGTCTTAGCACTGTTTCCACTCTAGAGTTTCCTCACTGCAAACCTGAGAGTTGTATGCAGGAGAAGTTGCTATAAATCAAGAAAAAGATTATTGATGCAGTAAAGCTAATCAGGCATGATAACAGGAGAGGATATGGCACATCCCAGCACCCCTCTGCTGAATATATGAACCCCAATCCTACCTGTAGTTCCAGTCTTCAAAATGTGATTTATAAGAGAGTCTTTTCCTCTTGCAAAAAAAATGTTATGGGCTGGAAGCAACCTTTTCAGAGACTCCCACGCCAAATTCCCTGTTCATCAAAAGGACGCCCTCCTGGCCCTTCCCTTTTGCACAAAGCCACTGAGCTGTGCTGCCTGATGCTCAGAGCGTACAGGCCCTCAGAATGGAGTGCCTTTGAAGAAAACAACTCATTCCCACACACTTTTTGAAGGAAACAGATTCAAAATTTTCCAAACAAAATAAAAAAGGTCAAGAAAAAGGAGAGAAGGCATGTTTAGTTTTAATGTTGCTTGCATATTATAGGAAATAGCTAAAAATGTACACTCAAATGGTTTTTTTCAGTGATGGGCACACAAGGGTATTTCCACCAAAGTCTTTTCAAAGTAGCTCCAAATGATATAACTGATGTGTAGCTGCATGAGGTGCCTGGAGCATGAGAAGGCAGATATGACTCCTGCATTTTAAACAGCATGCTATGAAATTTCTGTCTCCTATACATGCTTCAGGCAGAACATAATGTCTTCTCCTACAGTTCTTGCTCTTTGGCAATCCACTGCCTGGGTGATGGTACATACGGGGCCTGGTGGGAAGATACTGCTGTTTTGCACTCAACATCGTCTTTTCATTGGCATTCCCCGCTGTAGTGGGGGACTGTGAGGGAGTATCATCTGACTGAAACTCCAGTGGAATTTTAAGATCTTAAAAGCATCCAGTTTTCCTACTGCTGAGGTGTCCAGTGTTGTAAGTCCCAGCTTGCCTCTCCTCTCTCTACTCCACTTCTTGTGGAGAAATAATTTTATCTTCTTGAGGTTTCACGGGCTGCGCTTTCATTTCTTGTCCAGTAAAATGAATGCTAGAAATATGATTGCTTTAAAACTTGAAGCATAGTCCTCCCACTCCAAATCCAGACATTTTAGTAACTTTACAGAATTCCATCTTGAGTCTGCTTTTCAGACCACTGAAACTCTCTCTTAAGCTGAGTGTGGGCTCTAGGGCTTCCGCAGTTATGTCAGAAAAATCTGATATATCGGGTGTCTCACAACAGATTTGTTTTTATTTCCTGGTCTTAATCACATTTCTAATCCCAAATTTTCATAAATTGCATACCAAGCTTCAAAAATCTGGAGAGGAGCTTAAAAAAAAAAATCTTGAGTTTTAAAGCAAATATATTTGGGGAGCTATAATTGTGAGCTGAAAGTCCTTTTTTGCCAAACTGTTCTTCATAATTAAAATGTCTGGAAACTTATTTTATACAAGCAGAAATGTTTTCTCTCCAAAAACCCCGTGACACTCAGAAGGGAATTGAGACGGGTGGGGAATCCAATTGCAGATATGATCACAAAAGCTGGCTATTCTAAATGACCAAAATCAAAGTTACAAAGAAGAGGAAATTAAAAAAGAAAAATGTCTAAGACTACACAGTGGGTGTAAAAAGCATAGCTCCTGATTTTCCAGATTAAAAACCAGTTTCTTTGCTCTCGCCTGTGAATTTATTTCATTATAAATTAAAAAAACCCTTTCTTCCATCTCCTTAATTATTCTTTGTGCTCATATGAAGAATGTTTTAAATTCTAACATAATAAAAGTGATATTGTATTACTTTTATTATCCTAATGATCATAATACATAGACCTTAATGTATGCTTTCTAATGGAATTAAACCAGTGACAGATTATGTGTTTTATGGCAGAAATAATATTTTACATGGAATAGTTTATGTAGGTCAGTTTAATATATTGAGATTAAATTATTAGTTTCTTTTTAAAAAAGGAGGGAGGGAAATCTCTGAAAACCCACAGGACCAGAGAGAACATTTTCAATTCATACTTTCAATATGGTTTTAATTAAGGTTTAATATCATTTACTGGATGCTGCTTAAATACCATTTGCTTTTGAGGACTGCGTTAGGTAACCAGCTTCTGTTTGTTTTGGTTTCTCCTTACGGGGAAAGAAGGAGATTGACCAAGTCAAATACACGTGTGTCCCTGTTTGACCTAGAGCTCATCTTCAGTTTAGATCTTTTGGGGATGTACGCAAAACCTCCCAGCTCAGAGGGGTTAGAAATGATGCCTCAGGTTCTGCAGTGCCCCAGTCCCAGTGCTAGTTTTCTGACCCTTTATCTCTGTATACCGGATTTAGACTAACTCCCGTGCCTTGAACAAACCCTCTGAACTTGGAGAATATTTGCCTCTGGGTGGAAGAGCCTTGCAGATGAATTTGATATCTCAACCTAAGTGGCTTGTGGATCATTTTTCAAAGGGTCTCAAAGCAACCAAGAGGTGCTTTCTCACCTCTCCTGCGCCTGGCTCAGGCATAGGGTGCAGTTGGCTCTGTAACAGAGATGTGCCCCCTGGGGCTCTGGCAGCACCAGGAGGTTGGTGAGAGGCACGGTCTCCAGCCGTTGGGGGAATGTTTTTGTGCATGTGTCACTGGTAGGGAGTCTGGAGGTGAGGCTGCAGACTTGACAGGTCTTGCATTAGAAGTGGGAGGGAATGGAGCAAGACTAAGTGTGAAGCTGCTGTGGCAGCCTGCCTGAGGAGCTGGGCTTGGCCTGGTACGCTGGAGCCAGGCATGCAGCTGAGGAAGCTTTTGCTTCTGGCTGCCCACCGCAGTCCGGTGTGGTTGTGTCCCCTCAGGTAGAGCTGCTAAGCAGGTGATGGACCCGCAAATAAATACACTGGGCTGCGAGTGGGCTGGGAGCCCCTGGTCTGTGATCTCTGTGTACCCCTGGGCGGGCTTAGCCCTCCTCAGACCTGCTGTGCACACAGCTGGGCTATGCAGAAAAGAGCGTCTGAGCTGCACCACCAAGGGACATCCTGTTCTCCCTGCGCCCTATGCTACGTAACTGTGCTCGAGCGGTGCCTTGCCCCTAGGTCAGCGCAGTGAGGAAAGTGGTGCAGAGTACAATTTGGGCATGTGATCAGGGAGCAAGGGTAGCTCACTTTCCCCACCTTATGAAATATTGTGAGCAACTCCCAGCCATAACCTGCAGTGATAAACAGCAACACGTGCCTTGTGTTTCTCAGGGCACAGCACTTGCCTCAGTCCCTTTGCTTGTTGCCTCCAGCTTCCATGTGACTTTCTTCTCCCTTCCTCCCCCATCTCAGGTTTCTCCTCCTTGCAGCAGATAGTGGCTGGTCCTGTGGCATTGCAGCAGCCAGGGTTCAGTGCTGTTTATCTTTGAGCCAGCAAAAGGGAAGGGAAGCAAGTATCTGGGAAACCCAGAGGTAGGGTGGAGAAAACAGATGGCTCACAGTGGGTATCTGAGCAACTCCAGAGTCAAATAAGGAATGCCCATGACAATAAAGAGGTTACAGGCGATGGTCCTGCTGGAAACCATTCCTGAAAACCACTATTTAAAAAAAAAGTATCTTGGCTGGTATTTAGTGTAGCAAAATTCCCAGCTACGTGCAAATTTCTTAAGTTAGGCACTGTTGGCATCCAGGCAAACAGGGTCTTTCCTCGGTCCTCAAGTTAGAGGACAATTCCTTCTCTTTAGTAATAGGTGAGGACAGGATTTACTCCTACATGAAGACAGGAATTTGTTGAGTTCTAGTCCTTGCCAGGCACCCCTCCATCCAAGGCCTATGGATTTGCCATTGCCTGCATCTTTCCGTGGAAATGTATTAATGCATTTAATGTGGTGTGGGAGGTGTCCATTAGGTAAAGAAACAGCTTTTGCCACCAGAGGGTGCCTGCCCCCTTACCTAAGGTCTCAGAGACCACAGTAACCCATGTAAATTTGTCTTTGTAGCTGCTGCCAGCTCCATCCTCCCCATTAGTCCACATTAATCCCAAAGTTACTGTGACCCCTGCTGACACTTCCTCTCCATGAGCCCCACTTTTTCCCTGCACAAAGTGGAGGTGAGTAAATATGAAGAGGCAAGTTGTGAGGATGAGAAAGCCCTGCTTTGGGCTGGTGGGATGTGTTAAAAGCAGCCTGAATCAGAAGCACTGAAGTCCTGTAAGTGAGAGTCACAGAGACCAAAAGTGGCTTGCAGATAGCATGCACACACGTCAACCTTTTCCTTACTCTGCTGCAGTGCTGTTTTCTACACAGTGCCAGAGAGGATGCTCAGCAGCTCTGCCATCTCATCGGCAAAGATGCAGGTATTTAACTTCATGGCGCCTTCTGGACTGCGCATAGCTGACCCCTTAGTGCTCAGTCTAGGACATGTTAGATGGAAAACTCAGCAAAATACCTCACTGTCTCAACAAATGTTCTTTCTTCAAGGAACAGAATCCTAAACAAAATTTTAAACAACATGCATACAATTAGGCTGGGAAATAAATAGCCCCACCCTCAAAAAGGATGGAAAAGAAATGATAGATCACTTACTTAAAAGAAGAAGAAATGCCATTAGGACTGATATCCAGTTTGTTAGTAGGGTCATTGTGAAGTTTTGACGACAGAGTGGTTTAACCCGAAGTTTCTGACTTTAGCTCTTCTGCAGTGCCTTTAAAAAAAATAAAAAAAAGCTAAAGCAGGCCATGTGACTATTGGGGAAACTACAGTCACATCCTGAGTAGTTACATTTGCAAATGTAAGTTCCCTTTTTTGGGTTTAACATATAAATAAACTCCCCACTTGAAAATGTTCTGTGGAAAAGGTGGACTGCCAACAGTCAAAGCCTAGTTCAGCTGCTTTGCTCTCGAAGGGACCTTTAAACGCTAACATTTATTTTTACAAAATCAAAAAATTCCTACTGCAGTGAACTGATCTCTGCTGAAGTCTTCTAAATCCATGGAGATGCAAGTGGGGTTTTTGTCTTAGAAGAAGGACGTTCTAAGACAATCTCTCTCAATGTTGCCAGCTTTTTTTTAACTCAAGATGCCATCGTAACATTTTGAGGAGAGGAGTACTTGGCTGAACATTTCCTTTACATAATCAGCTTTTTCAGGAGCAGAGTGGAAGAAACCCACCACATCTGCATAACCATCGCAAGCCAATTCTTGGAGAACTTCTACCTAAGAAAAATGTCTTGACATAGTAGGAACTAAAAAGCAGGAACTTACTAGCAGATAATGCATCTGGTAGGAATCAAGCTTATTCTTTGAACAACAGTGAAATAACATATCTTTCTGTTCTTCGGGAAAATTCATCTTTTCAAACAGTTCCAAAAGTGAATGACAGCCAAACATACAAGTAAATATTAATGCTTTTTGGTAAGTGAACCCATTCCTCCCAACTCATTTCAGGTCCATCGTTCAGAGGTGGAAGGCACAAAAACATGGGCCTCTTGTTTTTGCAGCAGAGGTCTCTAGAGTGTCTCTGTATTGCTTTTACCTCTTGCCTCTTGAGGTACCTTTCTGCTTTAGATTAGTCCTTTGCTGTCTGGTATCTTCATCTCATGTAGATGCTTATATACTCCAGTCAAAATAATCTGAAACGCATCCTGAGTGAGAAGTTTTAAGAAAAAAACTCCTGAATATTTCTTTTTCCTCCTGTTGGTGAGGAAATGTCTGAGCAATCTGTTCTCAGCAAAATCTCACATCTTAAGACTGGATGAAACTTCTGTCTTGCCAAGTAAATTACAGTTGTAAAGCCCCCGTTCCAGAAGTCTGTTTTCAGTGGGACCACTGTAGTCCGTAAGGAATGCTGGTGACTGAATGTGTATGGCCACCTTGGTGGAAAAATGACTGCAAATGAGCAAGATGTTTGCAAATGTTTAGTTGCTCCGACAAGCTGTGAGTGAAAAATCATGCTTATGACTTCCAGGTGTTTGTGGAGGGGTAAGCAAAACACAGTGTTTGCCAGCAAATAAGTCTCTTGATGCATTAAAAATATAAATGAAGATGACCGATGTACCCTCTGAGGTGGCCTTAATTCCTGGCTTATTTTGCTGTATGAAGCATAGGTAGAACTGACTGAGTGTGGTAGATGAGGTAGAAAGTATTTGTTAATGCTTTGACCTATTGTGAGTGTGTGTGTGCACACATGCATGTGTATGTAATTCATTCTTGCTCTTTCACTGTTCCTGGTTCTCTCTGGGATCAGAGTTGAAAATACCAAAACCAAGCAAACAAAAATCTGTGCACCAGCTGGACAGAAAAGATCAGGATCCTCGTAAGAAACCCCCAATGTTTTTCTGCCTCATGTGGTTCATCTGCAAATGATCCCATGCTCCAGGGTCCCTGAGAACCTCTTATGGAAGGAATAACGTTAATGTCAACTCTCTTTTTTTTTTTTTCCTTTGTTTTCCTCTTGTTTCTGTTTTGTTTTGGTTTTTTTATTTCTCGTGGACCAAGTTAGTGGTCTCAAGGGGCTCTCATATTTCAGAGCAGCAACTAAAATCTGAGTATTTGGCTGAACTCTCTAAAGCTGCTTGGTTTATTCCACTGCTACTTCTCCACAAAATGCTTCAGACAGCTCAGCTAGCTGACTGCGCGCTGCTGACTGTGTATGCTTCACTATTCCCATTCACAGCATACCTCCAGTGAGGAAAAGCACTGATCAGAATAAGCCAGGCTTAATAAAATCCTGCTTTGTAGTGGGTTTATTCTGATTCTTGACCAAACTGGGAAATGTGGTTTCAAGCATAGTCATCATTATCAGCCTTCCCTCTATTATCCACTCTTCACCATCCGGCCACTGGGCAGGATATATATGTTTAATTAATTCTGCTTTTACCTTCGACCTGTAAATAGTGGGAGTAATGTCAGATTTATACGTTATATGAATAACAAGGATTTCTCAGGAGACCCTATCCTGGTGAAAGAGGCTAACTGTAATTTTCAGCTGTGAGTAATTGTATATAATATAATCCTAAATGGTTTTTCTTCTGTAATTTCATTAGAGTTTAGAAATTTAATTAGATTTTGAATCACTCTGAAATAAAGTAGCAAAACACCCAGAGACTAAGAGCAGTGGTTATTTTGTCCTCTGAGGCCAGAATTCTTGGTCTCAAATTGGCATGTGTTCATTAGGAGGAAGTTTGCAGAAGTTCTTGATATATTATTGTCTTTCAGAATGGACTCTGAATAGGTCTTTGGAGAGCATTAGAAGAGCACACAATTATTATACAGACTCTTTTTGAGGTTTAAGATCATCTGCCTTGCATATACTTAATAAAAATATGCCTCTAAAGTTGTTTAAGAAACTGTGGAGATAGGAAAGATGCTCCTCCAGTGCCCCAGTGCTCTTCCTGGTTTATTAGCAACTCCAGTACCTGTGTATGATGATACAGAGAGGAGTTGTTTGCTTTACTTTAATGATTAGGTAGGTTTATGGTTATTTTTATTGCTACACATATGAACTGTCATGGTGGCTGTAATTAGAAGCACACTAAAATGCTGCTCCTTCTCTTCCATCTGAGGTTCAAAAGAAATCTGTCCTTCTGGCAAACTTTGATTCTCTGTGGAATTCGCCCCATGTGCAAAAAAGTGGAATCAAACCGCACTAAACAGGACAAAGCAAAGACCAGCACCGCAGCTTATGATCATGTGGGGTGCCAGGATAGTTGTAGTGACTTCAGAAAGGGGATTCTCTTAAAAGATTCTGAGGGACTAGGTATGCAAGTGCTTGTTATTTTTTTTTTTTTTTTAACTGGTATAACATGGTTTGTATTTGTGGAGGTGGCCTGATTTACACTGCTAACTAAAAAAGGGATTTCGGCATTTAGGAGCACATTTTCCAAAGCCTTTACCAGCATAGCAGTGCCTCTTTTCTCATTGGGGTTAGTTGCCTGAACCAGGACTAGCCGCATGATTTTGTAAGAGTAGGTCCTTAAAGCAAAAGTAACAAATTGAGGTATTAGATAGAGAGGAGAAAATTCAGATTACTTTCAGCATGGCAACAATATAAGGAACCACAACCAAGCCAAAGCAAAGACCAGCACCGCAGCTTATGATCATGTGGGGTGCCAGGATAGTTGTAGTGACTTCAGAAAGGGGATTCTCTTAAAAGATTCTGAGGGACTAGGTATGCAAGTGCTTGTTATTTTTTTTTTTTTTTTAACTGGTATAACATGGTTTGTATTTGTGGAGGTGGCCTGATTTACACTGCTTAACTAAAAAAGGGATTTCGGCATTTAGGAGCACATTTTCCAAAGCCTTTACCAGCATAGCAGTGCCTCTTTTCTCATTGGGGTTAGTTGCCTGAACCAGGACTAGCCGCATGATTTTGTAAGAGTAGGTCCTTAAAGCAAAAGTAACAAATTGAGGTATTAGATAGAGAGGAGAAAATTCAGATTACTTTCAGCATGGCAACAATATAAGGAACCACAACCAAGCC